CAACAATAATAACATGCACTACGAAGCAATGATGACAACAATTACAACACTGGACTAGTAACACGAACAAAGCAAAAAATAACAGCCGCTAGTGACAGCAATTGTGAAGTCATGAAACTAATAAACATTAACACCACAAAGCAAAAACTACACATAATGGCCCTCTACACTGCGAACCACCACACACACCCACACACACACACTCACGCATTCAAAGTACTTACGATGAACGCCAACTTGGACATTATCGTTATCACCGCAATTCTGAAAAGGGGGGCACTCGAGCGTTCGGTCGCTTGGACGGCTGTGCCAGTCGCTGATCTAATGATGAGACGGAAATCTGCTTCGGCGAGCGTCTGTTTTGGTGGCGACAATGTCGGCAACATTGTAAACATTGACAACATTAAATTGATGCTATTGCATATAAATGAACAAAGTTCTACTCAGTGGCGGCGGGTTGGTTGCATATATGTACCATCAAAAAGGCGCACACCCACACCCACACCCAACCCCCATGTCATGCTCGCATTGAGGCCATTGGATGTTGTGGTATGTGGCATTCTGAATAGGATGCTGTAGAAAGGACAACGTCCGGCAACTTGCCATCATGGCACAACCATATACATATTCATATATACACCTGCGTGCAACTAATTAGCACCGAAATTAAAAATGATGCAACTTATGTTTTTTTTATTTACCTTTAACGTTTTTCATTTAAAATATAACTCAATATAGAACACAAAACAACAAAAATAAAAATTTCAAAGCTTGCACAAATTAAAAAAAAAATTTATTAAGCTTCAAAAATTTTTCATCAAAATTTCCAAATTCTAATCAGGATATTTAGAAAACTTTCGGGTATGCAGCTTTGCATTTGTAGCCCATTCAATTTGTGTCTAATGAAGTGCAAGTTTCAAGTCGCTTAAAAATTATCGTTGATTTTTTAGAATTTAATATAAAAAAATCCGTCTACAAAAAAAAATCTAAAAAATCAACGCTAATTTTTAGCGACTTGAAACTTGCACTTTATTCAACTAAAACTGCATGGGCTACAAAACTGCATAAAAAATTTTCTCAAAATTCTGATTAAAAATTTTGAAATTTTGGTGACAATTTTTTGAAGTTTGATAATTTTTTTTTTTTTTAAATTTGTGCAAGCTTTGAAACTTTTATTTATTATATTTATTTATGTATGTGGTTTCTGTTATAGATTGAATTATATTTGAAATCAAAATTATTAAAAATAAATAAATAAACGTAAGTTGCAAACAATTATTTTGAATATCGGTGCTAATTAGTTGAACGCAGGTGTATTCATAGTAAGTGTTTTCGTATCAGTTTCAAGGTACATATAAATATGTTCTTGTATACATGCATACATATACATACATACATGTGTATGTGTGTTCATCAATAACTAATGTTTGTTTGGCCGAGTACTCTTGTCCTACCCAAACCACAAATGGATAGTGAGTTCTTATTGGAGGCGCGATCGTGCACCCATTAATTCGTATTTGCATTGACTAATAAAACGGGAGTAATGTGTTGTAGACAGACACATACTTATGTAGTTATATATGTTTGTATTTATCTATGCTTGTGCATTCCCAGGGGGGAAGTTTGCGAATTCGGAAATGTTTGCATGGTTGAATAGGAATCCTACGCAGGAGTTGTACCAAATGTTTCTGTGATACTATTCTGGTATTACTCACAAAATACTGATTGCTGCTGAAAGCCTATATGTATAATGTTTGGGGAAATACATACTTATAATGTTGTCGATAACGATAAATTCCATGCATTTTTTATATCGATAAATTTAATTATTTGCAAGATCTTAAAATGTATTTATAGAAAAACTATGAATATAATAAATAAATATCGAAAATTAATCGATACAAATAACGACTTAGATATCAATAGCAATAACGGTAAAAGTATCAAAAACGATAAGCGATTCTACAAGGATATTGCTACCGATTTCGATGAATATGATTTATTGATTTTTATTAATAATTTTAACTATCTATAGCTATTTTGACAACCTTATATACAACGAAATCGATAAATATCGAAAATTATTTGATAACAATATAGATGAAAATTGCTATAACAATATTGGTACGTAGTTGTATAACAATATCTAGGTACGGTATCAAAAATAATTTTGAAAAATTTATTGAAAACTATAAGGAAATCAACAGCGACATTTTTATCGATAAGTAAATTTCAATAGACTCGATAAGTATGTTTTCTATTGATAAATGATTTGCAATAAAAGCGAATAATATAATCGATAACTATGTAAAATTAATCGATTAAGATTATATTTTCCTGCAGGGGTTTTGAATTACTTTCCGGAGGGTTGGTTCGTTGGTATGTTGATATTCGTAGAAGCTATGTAACTTGCACGACAAATAGGCGCCAGACCACTAAAAGCTGCTGCTGCTGTCCTCGCTGGCTGTGACAGTTGCGAAGGACATTGCTTACAAACGTATGTGCGTGCGAAAACAATTATAATTGCGAGAGTATCAATTGTAAATTTCTCATTATGGAAAAGTGGAAAATTAATGGATTTTCAAATTCAACAAATGATGTAAAGATGGTGAAGCATGGAAAGCAGCTGGTGCTTATTCAACATTTTCCATTAACCGCTGGAACAATTAAATTAATAAAAATATATTTTGTAAGAATTTTTAGGTATACAATTTTCAAAATTCTGTGTTATTTAACTTGAGATAGAAAAGCAAACCATATTTTTTAAAATTTTTGATTTTTTTTTTTAATCTGATTTTTATAAATCCATATTTTTTAAATTTTTAATTTTTTTTTTTAATTTAATTTTTAAAAACTTCTTGCGTTTCTCGTGTTTATTAGATATCTAATTATTTATTAACATTTCTTAGTCTATACCCAAGGTTTAATCTTTCATCCTTTAAAATACCAATGCCCCTCCAGACCGCCTTGGAAATCATTTTGATTCCAATCGTAATTACGCCTGCCCTGTGCATAAGCATCAATACTATAACTATCGTCATCGCTTTTCATCAAATGATGGTTGTACTTGAAACTTGCTTCACGTCCTCGCTCTGGCGTGTCTTCGTATTTCAGCTCAATTCGTCCTCTTTTATTTTCTTGTGATGATTCCTCAGACGAGGATGGTGAACGTGCATGGCGTGCCAGCAGCAAAGCAGGGTCTCCCGCCACCCAACTGTGTTCGTCTTCTAAGTGGATTGCTGCATCATTGTCGAACTGCTGATCCAGCTCCAGTAAAGGATATGCATGGCTCAAAGTGCAGAGCGTGCAGCAGAGTGTGATGTATAAGATGGATTTATTGCTCAGCATTTTATATTGTTTTTCGAATTGGAATGCCGTTATGGTTTAAGTATTTAAATCACGATTTGAATACGACTATGCTGCTTATAAAAATTCATTTCAGTATTTATAGCGCAACAATCAAACTTTTCTTTACACCAAAAATCACCGAGTGTTAATCACTACTGCTATCAGCGTAATGCTGATAAGGCGCTAAGCGTCTTGCGGTTGTCAAGTATTTCAGCTGCCCAGCTGGGAACCACCTTACTTCTGCGAGTGTAAAAAGGTTAAATTGCAGGGGATTTAATTGATTTCAGGGCAAAAGATCAAACTTTTAAAATAAACTAATAATAAGTTTTTAAGAGTCATTTCAAAATCAAATAGCCATTTAGAGACCATTTAGCTCCTAGCGACATGAGATGCTGTAAGACTCTTTTTGAAAAAGAAGACTAGTAAAGCTTCTGGCAGTTTCTTCTGCTATTTTGATTATATCTCTTCCCTTGTAGTGGCATACCCAATAGATACACAAGCTTGCACTTATAGCCGGTCATTCACTCACCTCTCTACTAAGAAGCAAATTCTTAGGTGAAGTACGATACGATCGGAGTTGCATCGTTTTCTGGTGCAAGCTACCTACGAGACTTTCCTCAAATCACAACCTTTCGCTTGAAAAATACTGCAACCCTATTGGCCACCTGATGTCCAATTTTGTTGTTTTACAAACATGAGTGTATTCCAGCTTCTGCGAATAATGCTCACTCCCATACGCAATCGCACTACATCAAATGCACTAGTGCATTTGAGCAGTGAAAATAACCCATCATATTACATATATCGAGCCGCAACTGCCAACAAGGGCTCGTTATACATGTTTACAATACACTTCCACATAATTTTACTGGCCAAAACCACTTCACGGATACCACATGAAGTGTTATCGAAAAATCATTTTCCACATTCATCAATAAATGTCGAAAAATAACCGGGCAATATCGAAAACTTAATCGATAAATATCCAAAATTAAACAATAAATACAAAAAATAAATGGATAAATATTAAAACTTAATCGATAAAAATTAAAAATTTATCGATAAATATCAATTCGCTAAAAAGAGCTACCCTAGTCAGGCAGATAGAGCGAGCACCATAGGCAGCTCTCATTTCCATTATACGGTGTTCGCATGAGGCTATTTTATAGGCAATTTTAGATGCGATTAGTTGAATCAAAAGTTGGCTGCACCTCAACTTCATTGGAAGCGATTAGTTGAAAGGCCGTTCACACCAGGCTTTAGTTGCTTTCAACTAAAAGTTGCCTGTAAAATCGCATCATGCGAACACCCTATTAGCGGTGCATTACGTATCACTTCCACTCTGTCTATATTACTGCCGCAGCACGGGCTTCAATAATGCTCAGGAAAACAGGATGCATAACGAACTTAGCGTGTGCGGGTATTCTACTATGAACTCTCCGTCAACATTAAGTTTAGGCTACTAGACTTTTGTACTGTGTTTCAGTGACAAAGTGCTCAACAGTAAGACGTCAATAAGGTACTTTGTAAACCAAGCGGCAATTAGGGTCCTCAGCTCACTGATGGTGCGATATAAATTGGTTCGGGAATACCTAACCTCCCTCTATTGCGTCAAAATGTTTATCAGTCAATGTGATGTTGTGGGAAACTGCATAAGTGACAAGTCGGGCGGCAAGCACACTTGCACTCTTAGACCAATGGTAGATGGGAAAAGAAATACATTCGAATATTTTTCATATACACATGCATTAGAGAGGTCCGTAACCAACCAACCTTTTAGTTTGTCTACGTACAAAATAAAGGCATAAAAAAAATAAAAAATTTCAGATTTTTTTTTTGCAAATTATTATTATTTTTTAAATCGCCAAACTTCGACAAAGTTTTTACTTTTCAAAAATATGCCAAAGTTATCAGATTTGAAATGAACATTTTTCAAATTTTTGCGACTTTAAAAAAAAAAAATTATAATTTTTTAGTGACCCCTAAAAATTTGTTTTAAAATTGGGTAATTTTTATGGCTGTCATGCGGTGCTCCATACAAAATTTAGATTTTGTTATTTTAAGGACAATTAAAATTTCAATGGATGAAGACTCTTTATCACCTGTTGATGAGGCCATGAAGTATAAATATTGAGAACTTGTTTCGCGCCCATTTTTCTACGTACTATATATAGTTTTTTCAGACCCACCGACCCTGTAGATCACGCCCGATTTACTGATGTCGCAAAAATGCTGCGATTATTGGATTCCTTAATCAAAACAGTAAAAATGCTCAAAGTACGCGGTCACACCATTCATACATCTTTCGTATGTGTTAATTGATTTATTAATGTGCAACGCAGCTGAACATTTATGTCATTAGATCTGAAAATTCGTTTTCTCAATTACTTTTCCTACCTCCAGTGATGCTTTAGTGTTTTATATAAATGATAGCTTTGCTTTTTTAAGTGCCATATTCATTGGCACTGAGTAAAAAAAAAAAAAAAATCGGCGTGACAGTCGAAAATTGGCATGATGACAACTTTATTGGCTATTAAAGTAACTTATAAACGTGTTGTTGGCCTGTGTATAACTTTTAATAGCAATCATTTTGTTGACCAAAATTTGTTTTCTGCGAAAGCAAAAATTTCTGTTTTTATTTTCTTAATAACTTTTTCGTGTTACGAGAGTATAATGATTTTTATAGACAACAACTTGTGTGTGTGTGTTTTTTTTCGCAATAATTTTTCTACGAATTATTACCCGTTTGCCCGGTTTGGCACTTTTTATGAGTGGCTGGTTCAATCTCTTATACATATGTACATACATATATATGCATGAATTCGTACCCACCAGCTTCTGCGGCTGCCTTTGCTACTTTACTGCTGTGGCTTAAAAAGTTATCGCAACTGTGCCCTGTGACAATTCCACGGCTGTCAGTTGTTGCTCATTTGTCAATGTGTGATATTTAATTACCCCTACCATTGCTTTACTACGACCGCTCATTGGAGTCTTCATTGTGTCATATGTATGATAATGTTGCATGCAATTAAAAATTCATTGCAGCATTACACGCGAGCAGAAAGGCGGCAAACAATTGCCAGGCATACATAGTGTGATTTCAGCTTCAAGCACCGCGATTAACGTCTGCATAACAGGACTTCTCTAGGCAAATGCATGCTTGATTATCAGATTTATATGATGATGACTTGGCTGCTTCGTTGGAATGCTGCAAGTGAATGTTTTTATGACGACTTCGATTTTCCGCGTTCCTTTGCATTTTACTGCTACGCTACGCCTGAAGGTTGTAAAAACATACAAATAGTTGGACAAGTAAGAAATACAAAGTGACAAAAATCTACATTGTTTCGTTGCGTAATTCAATGGAATGGAGGGTCAGGAAACTCACTCCTATCCCTAGCCATGGTCAAAACGACGGTTTCTGTGCCAAACAGGCTACAAATGAGCATTTGTATAGGCATTACGAGTGCCATGGGATGGGTACAACGTCAGACCGGCTTTTAATGCTTTGTTGGATTTGCCACCTCTGGATTTAGCGATCCAAGAGGCGGCACTTTTTACAGTTTGTTTGGAGGATCAGGATAGTGCAGAATATTTTGTCAGACGCTGCCCGGCCTTCAGCATACTTAGGTGGTACAATTTTGGGTTGGATGTATTGAGAATGGACGAGATATAAATCTCGCCATTCCCGATCTGTGGAAATCAAGGAGGGTGTTCTCACTACTCAAGCCGGCAAACATGCCAACAAAAACATGGCTTCTGCAAAGTGAAAAACATCGCCATAACACTTAACAGGTTCTAGTATAAGGCTTATACATTCAGATAAATCGCAGCCTCAACCGTGATCGTAATGTACGACAACCGTTCTAGTAGCGTTGGATACATCGCAAGGCTTTGGACACCGTTTGTCGCTCCACGCTACTGGTAGACATCGAGGCCACGAAAATGCTGGAAACTAAAACTAAACAAGGGGTTCCACAAGTGCGATGCTATTCCTTGCTTCTGTTTAATTTTCATATAGCGAGGTTCCCCAAGCAACCGGATGGAATTTCCTTCAACTCATACGCTGGCGATTGCTCGATATAGTTGTCTTTCTCTTCGATTAAGCTCGCTCCGCCACATTAAGGAGCTTCGTCACAGCTGTCACAGCTTTATTCTGACACAATTACGGTCTGGATATTGCAGCAGGTTCTACGCACATGACACTACTTCTTCACAAGCCCCACTCAATTTACACTTCTCTCCCTTTGGCCCGAGCACATTTCACGGGCCTACCGTTAGTTGGAATAAAAACTTCTTAAGTAGACAGAAAAAATCTAAAATTGGTTACTATAAATAGTTTAATGTGAAAGCGTAAAGTGGCTGATAAAAAATTACAGTAACATCGGAGGACAATTAGTACTTTTTGCCATATTTGGTATGGCGCTCTTCACCGGTTCGTCCAAAAATTTGTTTTCCCAAAATTTTCTAGACTCAGGGGTGTACGGATTGTTTTTTGACACGGCCTAATGTACACACATACATACATATGTAAATATATGTATGTTTGAATACCTCCACACTCGTACAAAGATTCATAAATTAATGGCTACCGTGGTTGCTGTCAACAGTCCTTTTCACGCTTAAATTAAATGCAAGTAGGAATTTGCGGATTAACTCTCTGTGGATTTCGGTGGAGTTTTAGTGGATTAATTTCGAACGACTTTGGGACATAAATTTTGATCGCAAACCGGTAAGTAGCATGTGAGAACCATAAATTTCTTAAGAGCAAACACTTGTTGCGAAAATGATGTGAGTAATAAATTCGAGAAACAAGGGGATTTAAGCAAATAAAAGCCACACAAAAATACTAAGTGAGCCCAAATGTTGGACAAATTGATGTTAGGCAATTTGAAATGCATTTTTCAAATTCTTAAATTTATAGATAT